AGTATGAAACTCTCAACTGTATTATTAAATTCACTTTGGACTAGGATACAGTCTATCCACCTAAAGTTTGTGTCGATACTCCCCTCTCGACACCAGAAAGATTTATTTTATGGACGTATGATAGAATACGATTGTTGAGTGTGGACAATTATATAAAAAAACTGAGATATTTTTTTGGCTCTTACAGTACTATTTTTACTGTCTCAAAAACAATTGTCCTGTCATATGTAAACAAACTTGTAACTAACAAACTCAAATTGACATAAAATATACAGCATGTAATAAAATCACAAACGATGCTGCAACTCTCGAACTTCAACATTCTCCCACCTTTTGCAATGTTGAACTGCAAAACAGCTATATCGATCAGGAATATTGACCAAACGTCCTGACCTAGTACGGCTTTCTTGGGACGGCTTTTTCTGGAACCCTTTCTTCTCCTGTAGTTGAAGATTGTTTGCTTTCCTGATTTGGATGATCTTCTTTGGTTGTTTCGTCTTCATACGGAGTTACTTTGGAATTTGAAATAGGTCGTTGTACGTGTTTGCCTAATATTTCTGGTTCTTCATTAGAGTTTGAAATTTCTAGTGCGTAGATTCGTTGAAACGGGCGTAATAATTCACCTGTAGCTAATTTGATTCGAGTTACTCTGGCAATCTTGTCCTTTCCAGGGCAAATTTCTATTATTCTTCTCATCGGCCAACTAATTCTCTTGGTATTGTCAGATCCAATCAAGACTACATCACCTATAACCAACTTATTACATTTTCTTTGTCCTAAATGTACCAAATTTGCCAGATATTCATTCCTGAATCTCTCACGAAGATTTTCTCGGATTTTCTGCAAATATCGGAATCTCTTCTTGATGCTTGTTCTTCCAATTTGATCTATATCTGGTACTTCTGAGATTTGGATGCTCTGTAGAAGAGATGACGGTGTTACGGGAATTAGTTCATCTGTATTGTTCGAAACGTATGTTAGTGGCCTTGAATTTATAATCGATTCGCAGTCACAAAGCAGTATCAGAAGTTCTTCATAATCGACGGTTTTCTTTCCTAGATTTCTTCCCAAAAGTTCTTTGATCATTCTCACGATACGCTCCCACTATCCACCACATCAGGGTGCTGAAGGGACATTGAATTTCCAGGTGATTCGTTGAACTGTTGAGTGTTTTAAAATTCCTTTCCAATCTAAGTTTTTCATTTGGTTATTGGCTCCCACGTAATTGGTTCCATTATCGGAATCACTGATACTCTTCCCCTCCAAGCAGTAAATCGTCTTAGTGCCTGTAGAAAAGCTTCAGTTGAAAGATACTGCACTAATTCAAAATGGCATGCTCGATAAACGNCAAAGCTGTTTCTTATGAATTTTCAGGAGACATTTTTAAATGGTAAGATAGTGTAGCTGCTAGCAAAAATGGACTTGATGATATACCAAAAACTACTCTAGTGTGGCGATAAACTTTCATTATTTTTAATAAAGAATCTTCCCACCAGAGAAATCTAAGCATATTTATATCTTCTTCAGCTATACTTATTTGCAAAAATGCCTCTTTGATGTCAGAAATTATTTCAATCATCCCAAGTCTGAATTTGAGAAGAATTATTGGAATGAGTTCAATCATGTTTGGTCCCTCCATTAGACAACTATTTGGAGAATTTCCATTTTTATCTTCAGATGATGCATCAAACACAGGTCTAATTTTTGTTGTGAAATTCGAATCTTTCATAACTGGATGACGCGGAATATAATGTTCTCCTTTATTCTGTATATCAGTATGTATTTGTTCAATAGTTCCTAACTGTTCCCACTCCTTAAAAACTTGGTTATACTCCTGATATTTTGCTAAATTATTTAACCGGTTAATAGTGGAAAAAACCTACTCTCTGCAATTTCTCTATTATCTAATAGTTCAGGGTGATTATCGATCCACGGCAACTTTATTTCATACCTATTTTCTTCATTACGTTGTACTGTTTTTTCAAAATATTCAATTGCCCCCGCTTCTAAAATTTCATTTTTCTTTATATAAACTCGATCCCTTATCCCCAAAACATCTAAACTCCACAAATCAAAAAGTGTACTATCATTAAAACGACAAAGAGTTTTCTGGTGATATGATCCCATTACTGTCCACCCAAAATGAGTTTCAACTGCTACCAAATCATCAACTTTCTCTATTCTACCTGTTAAGAGTTGACCATAAATATCTGCTCCGAGAAGTAAACTGATTTCTTCAATTTTTGTTTGAGTATCAGATATGATTATATTTTTCTCTTTCAACAAATTAATTATTCGAACATTTTCTAACCGTGGGACAAAACTGCCTATTTTATTTTGTTCCAAAGCTGATAGTCCTAATTCAAAAGAATTATTCAAATTCCCAATAGTGACATTATGAGTATGGGATTCAGGAGAAGATTGTTTTCCACCGAAAACGCTTTGATTTCCTCACTGATTTTTTTTAAGTTCATCATTTTGGCACAGTTAGAAGTAATATAGGAACATTGTGATGCAGAATCTAGTAAGGCTCTAACAATTTTTATACCTGATTCCCTATACAACTTCACAGTAATGGTTTGTAAAAGATTACCTGTCGTATTGTTACTGATCATGACATTTTTTATATTGCTACTTTCAGGGGTACTGGAAATTTACGTAGGTATAGAATGCTTGGATGGTTCAATAGATAAATCACCACATAATATAGGATAATTCCTTTTACCGCAAATGATACATTTCACAAATGCTTCGCATTTTTCAGCATTATATTTGAGTTTTAAACAACAAAAGCAAGCATTCTTTTATGAAACATTTTCTTTTTTTTGATGCTATCTTGGCTTGAATGAGATTCATCTTCACAAAATAAACAAATTGGATACATTTTACAAATGCTTTGCATTTTTTTAGCACTGTGGTTGACTTTTGAACAACAAAACCGAGCATTCTTTTATGAAATAATTCCTTTTCATTCTTCAACAGAAAATGCCCCAGCTTTGATGCAATCTTGGCTTGAATTAGATTTACCTTCACAAAATAAACAAATTGGAGCTTTCTCACCATATTTTTCTTTCGAAAAAATTGCGGCAGCTGTGTAAAGACTAGGCTCACCTCCGGTGTATTCAATTTTCTCAGTACATGGCTTACTTTTTGTCCAATTCTTTGTGTCCTTTTCAATAGCAAAACTGGTTTTGGCTACACTAATGCGTTCTTAACTTTTCACTCCGGAACGAAGAAAATTTAATGAAGTTAAATACTTCATTAATAGATTTATCTGTACTAGAACCCAAATTATTGGCTTTGATATTGCTCCTGTGTCTCTCCCAAGCTATTAGAACATATTCTGGAAGGGCAGATTCGACTAGTGGAAACAACATAGCAGCATATTTATCACTCCTAATGACTCTAAAGCTCTCAATTGTGTCTCTAATTTGTCGAATAAAGAAGCTAATTATATACCTGATTTGTTATTGATGGCCTGTTTCAATATCAAATTCAACAGTTCCCTGACGTGAATCTCTATAAGAAATTAGTCTCGTGCAAACCTGGCTTTCAGTTGATCAACGGATTTTTCGTAGTTGGTTGCAGATGGAGGAGAACTGTCAACTAAAGCTTTTGCTACACTACCTGGTTCCATGGTCTGCACTAAATATTGAAATTTGTCTTCATCATCAAGCTCAGTGTCTTCATGGATTTTACGAAATCGCCCGCAGAATCCAATCCATTTTCGAACATCCCCGTCAAATTCCTTCAACGATATTTTTGTCAATTTGAAATGTCGCTTGACATTTGATTTTCCAATTATACTGGTATTTCCTATATCTTGATTCGGTATATTTACTAGGGCAAACTCGCACTTCGACCTATATATTATCAAATTCTCACGAAACTTTTCATTCTCTTCATACTCCTTCTCGAACTCTTCATCATCTGTTGTCAACATTTGGATTTGCACATCAATGACGAATAATCTGGACCCTTTATCTTCAATCTGTGTTAAGAGGGCCAGTATACTAGGCTTTGCTATCGGCTGGGCATTCAGTTCCAGTTCGTTGCATAATTTTATAATAAACATATTCCTCAAGATACCTCGTTCTTTCTTCAATATGTTGAATTATATAGAAAAACTGAGATATTTTTTCTTTTACAGTTTTATTTTTACTATCTCAAAGAAGTGTGTCTTCTAGGTGNTACAAGGATATTCCCAAATCTACCCAACAACACAGGGTTCCAAAGCAATTTTTGCAAAAACTGTATTGTTGCGGTTTATGAGGAACAATCCTCTCTGATTCACCGCCTCAATCATAGATCAGTAAGAGTTGAAATATACCAACTGAGAAGCAATTCTAGAGAAGAGGAAGTAGAAAAGTCTCAAACTGTATTGGGGCCAGTTTTGTATTTGATATATATGTGTAATGAACGTTCTATCAAAAATTTCACTACACAATTAATATCTCTCATGCTGCTGTCACTGCATATGTTTCCATTAAGGAAGACTCGTAGAATGAAGTATACGCTAATTATAAAACTGTTGAGGAATATACAACTGTGGTTGAACTGAAAATTATTGAGCCTTTTAATGATCATGGAGCCAAAAATACGCTAAATATACGTAATATACATAGTGAATCCTGAATATGTACTCTCACACATTTAGAGAGAACATAGTAGAATATCTGGGAGGAATGGTGGATCAGCATTTCAGATAAAATGATCAAGCCATATCTTACAAAATTAGCGAGAATAAAAAACCTTTTCACTTTGGAAGACATCTTGGAAGGAGAACCTATGACAGTTTTCCATCATTTAGCTAAATTCGTAATGAACAATTGCATCACAATGTGAGCTGAAATATCCAACAATTCCTCAGTATGTCTACAAACAACTAGAAATATATTTGAGGAATTTGATTATTCTCTACTAAGAGGCTGTGCAATTATTTCAAATTAATGAATTTGGCACCAGGGTACACATCATCTCACATGTCTATAATTTTGTAGGTGTATTACCTCAAGAGAAGTAGGCGATAAACAATAAAAACAGCAGCGACCCAAGAATGGAACCCTGTGGTATCCCTAATGTGGCTAATTAGTCCATCGATTTGTGGCAATCAATTTCATCATATCTTAGAATGAGTAGGATCTGAGAAGCTTCACCAGATCAGCAGTGGATCCAAATAGATAAATTTCTTGGCAGATTGGTTATACATCTTTCTTCATGTTGGAATCCATGTTGATCTTTCAACATTATGCTAAATATGCTGAAAGATAAATGAGAAGCGAAAATGTATTTTCTGAAGACATATATGTCAACAAAATATCTGTTACTTCGAAAAATTTTTTCAATTCGCTATTGTTTATTCTTTTATAGTATGAACTTTCAAATCAGGTGATTTTTTCGATATAAATCATCGAAAAGTTTTTATCCAACATTTTACCTTATCGAATCGAGTCAAATCAAACTATTCATTCCAGAATTGTCAGTTGCACAATTTATTATGTATAGAAAAATGCTTGTAGTGCTAATTTCTGCACGAGGAAAGACTTTTTTTCTCTCAATTTAAATTTTTGGTGCAAATTAATCGTGTCTAGGGACTTGAGAAATTTAAATATTTTTAATTTTTCCTGTATAAAAACATTGGTGAATAAATACTTTTTCATCTTTTCATTCAGTTTTATTTATTCATATATTTTTTTCCATTCATTTCCATATAACATTTTAATTTATTTATTTATAATTGTTTATTTATTTGTTCATTTTATTTATATGTATTTTGTATTTTATTTGATTATTTTGTCATTTGGTATCTATCCGTTGAAAAATGTTTGTTTTTTTTTCAAATCTATTTTCCGTAGATACACAGTTCTGAGTAGTTTTCGACTTTTGTTATTATACGGCCCTCTTCATATAACTACACAGTATTTAAATAATGATTCAATTCAAGATTCAATTGAAGTTTTGAATTTCGATTGTCTAAAATGTACCTAAGTATGTCTTATATATTTCGCTTGTTAGTTTCATTTCAGGTGTTGATCGACAATTACGCCAAGATATTTTTTTTTGATTTTTTAAATAGTTAGATGGATAGTTGCAGTTTGGTTGAGTGCAAGTTTTGTTATGAAGCATAATATTATTTCTGTTTGGTTGTGTGTCGACATTTGTGAAAAATGTTATAAATTCACTCTCAGACGTATTCAGAAACAACTTTTCATAATTTAGGTTTTTATAAGACCCTTTTTAGCTGTATCGAATAGATAACGAATAGATCACTTAGCAAAATTCCCACATCCATCCACCGCTTGCCTGCAAATAAAGTAACATCAAGTAATTGCATCGGATTTCTCCAGTAACCCTCTCGAAACTTCTTCGTGAATCCTACTCACATCATTATCAATCCTGAAAAGTTCACAAAACTGTCACCAACTCAAAAACTCCTATGAACATCTCACAGAAACATTCCTCGACTGTCACATCGTCGATATCCACATCCACCCATAGCAATCCATCGGAAAACTTGCACACGAAAACTTTCGCGGACACCGATGTGATTTTCCGCACTAGCAGCGTCGCGACGTCGAGATCAGGCGTCGAGGGCGTTGCGGCGGTCCACGAGGTACTGCTGGGCCGACCCAGCCTCATCGCGCCGAGCGCCCCATCAGCGCGCGGATGACTTGGAAACTACGAAGGGCTTATTTTATTGCCGAGGAAAGATTTTTCGAACCTCAAGAAGGTCTGAGCGACAAAATCGAAAGAAACGTTGAGTTTTTGGAGAGTGGTTTGAATGACAAAAAGTCAGAATGTTCGAAAGGACCGAAAGAGTGGAAATTACTGGAAAACACGATGACAGATTCTAATTCGGAGGAATTTTGTATTTCTGGTGATTGACTATATTTATCTTCTGATTTGAGATAGGACTCAGGATAGATCAGTTTTTGAGACAAAAGGGCTATTTGCCTTTCTATTTCTCATAATGTTTGCATTCCCGACATTCGTTATGAAATTGAAACAGATATCGTTCACAAGAACGAAAAATGTACTGATC